CCTTCCAGCCCAAATGTTTATGAAATCTATGATTTAGCTCCTGACCGCCAGGTATATCAAAAGGCCAGGTATATAGCAAAAGCTTTTTTTATTTTATTTTTTTTAAAGTTTTGTCCCTCCATAAATATCCCTTTCAAGTCCTCCTTTAAAATCAGCTTGCAGATATTTTGCGAAAGTATATATTTTGCAAAGTTCAAACATCACATCACTCTTATATCTGCCTAGTCTGCGAATCTTTTTCACTGCTTTCCTGAATTGGTGCTGCAGCTCTGTAATGTTATTTTCTCTTGACCTTTCCACTGTCTTTCTTAAAGAATTCTCCTACAGGCTCTGACAGGAAGTGGACCTACTTAAATGTGCCTGAAGCAGATGGGGATACTGTGAGTTCTTCTACTTTTCTGGTTCTTAATGGTCTTTTCCCTCTCTTTTTCTTTGTTTCTGTGTTTCTGTTATTGACACAAACTTTACCCATGGCACAAATCTTACTGTGATTGGAAGATAGATGTTTAGTTGTTGTTAATTAATTAGCCAGCAGAAAACTTATACCAAAAGTTTAAAATACCTTTGATTAGGACAACAAACAAACTCTAATTTTGCCTTTAAAATATTTTCATCCTTTCCTAATAGTAATCTCTGGAGCACTATGTTTTGACTAGCATGTGAAAGACGTGACATTATTTTACAACAGAAAACCCATTTATGCAAAACTGTTAATGACACTGGGGAACACCAAATTAAAATACAAGAAAATTACAAAAACTGTTATGCATGTTAAGGCAACTAGAAATTCTACAGTAAGAGATGGGGTTTTTTTTGCAATATTTCCATTATGGTTTTTATTTTCTTTAATTTTGTATGAAAAGTCTGGTACCAGCCACTTTCTGAAGCAGAATACTACACTGGAGGGATTATTGGCAATCAACATATTCCTGGAACTGGCAACATGATGTCAATGCAATTTACTTAATCATCCTGATCCTCCAGTTACTCCTTTTGGAACCTCTTTGTTCCTCCAGTAAAATGATTATAATGCCAGCATTTCAGATTCTTTATGCGAAGAAATACAAAAGACATGTAAAAGATTAACTGCTATTTTTCTGATTACTTTTCATATCAAATTTAAGGAAGTAATAATTTTGTTCTTCCTTTGTAAGCCTAGTTTTCATAGGCAAGTTGAGCAGAACAGTAATTGTGGGGTCCTAATTATATGAAAAAGCTGGTTCTAGAAAGAGATTGTGTCTTTTTTTCCTCTCCTTTATCACAGACTAGCATTAACAGCCTGATGAGTGTTTATAGTGAAACTGGGGACTATGGCAACGTGAAGGTCAGTGGGGAAATACTTCTTCACATCAGCTACAGCTACAAAACAGGTGCCCTCAACATCCTTGTTAAAAGCTGCAGAAACCTGGCCATAGCAGATGAAAAGAAGCAAAGGACAGATCCGTAAGCACAGATGATTTCTTTTTTGATGTTTTCTAGAAATGCCTTTGGTCTTGATGTAAAGTTGCATTTGACACTGTGGTCTGTCTGTGAGGATGATCACCACAAGCAGCATGGGTTCGTCATAGGCTGCAGAGCCTCTCAGATTGTGTCTTATACCTCTTATTTACCCTGTCAGGAGGTGCCACATTGAAACATGCCTCATTGCTCCATTCATGCCACCTTCCCAACCAGAAGCAGTATAGCCATATCCACATAACATTGCATCTGGATGAATTAGCTCTGCTGAGAAGCCAGGTTAGTTGGCTTCTAGTGCCAAACAAAGAAAGGTACCTACATGGAGCCACATGGTGCACATCCCCAGTGACCACAGATAAGTACTTTCTGGTTATTCCTGTTTGGAATGAAGTAGTGTTTTCAGTTGTTTCTTAGGGTGGCCTGTGTCCCTGTTGACATCCTTGTAATCAGCTTGAGAGGAAAATCTAAATCAGTGGTTCTCAACCTATTTGTTATAGTGGGCCACATGTGCAGGTCACAATGCGTTATGTGGGCTGCACCCACACAACTTACTCCCTGTGTATCCATTAAAAAAATGTTTTAATAGGATGTCACATGGACCACAGCAGTTTGCTGATTGGGCCGCAGGTTGAGAACCACTGATCTAAATGAAAGTAGAGCAAAGTCATTTATTACCACCAGAGACCAGGCCAAATGATGTGAGACAATGCTATGGAGTCTCTAAAGGTGCGAGTCCAGCATGTTTACTGAGATTTCAATTCCTTAGTAATGTGTAGTGAACCAGAAACCTCTAGAACATGGAAATAAAATCTTGTTCATCCTTCCCAGCTCCAAATATGTATCCTTTTCCAAAAGTCAAAGAAACATAAACTCTTATATTCCAGTTTCTATGCATGTGTGTTTGATTAGATACTCAACTGGCACTGGAGAATACTGGAACAGTATGAAAAATTCTGACATGGTGAATAATGTGGGCAGTGGGGCTGATAGACTACTGTGACCGCACTTCTTCATGAGTGCTACTACAGTATATACAACTGAAATAATGCCATGACAAATTGGGATATGTATGAGCACACAGCTTCACTGCTCTTTACAGCAATAGTGTCATCTTCCTATGGCAACAATGGACAACACTAGTCATTGGATTCCATTATGTAATTTGCTTCTTCAGATAATAGGAGTATAGTATACAAAAGTTTAATTGTATGGTGGTGGTGAAGTCCCTATTAATGTCAATCTTACCACAAAATACTGAACTGTTCTGTAATTCTTCTTAAGTAAAACAAGAGCAAAGAAAATAATTGGCCATTATGCTGTGTATTTTTAATGGGATCCACATATACACAGCATAAAGGTAGTAGGACATTTTGGTGCTTTTCCTGAGTGTCCAGGAACCAATTCTGATTTTTCTCAAATCTGCACGTCAGAGTACTGTAATTAACATTTGTATAATTCTGTTTACCCTGATTTGGTACTTTATTATACTGCTTGGTTGTGATTGACCACAAAAGTCGCACAATATTACTTCTGTTACTCTTACTGGAAGTCTTAGCCTTTTTTCTGATGTGACTATTGTATTAAATTCCATTCTGTCAATGTTTTAGTATGACAATTTGAAATGTGCATTTTGCAAATATTCATGGTATCATAGTGCTACCAAATCACAGTAGTCACATTATTTATATACTATACTGCTATTGTATTTTAATATTAAAAGCTAAATTAAATAGTCTCAAATATTTTAAAATATATGCATCAGTTAAACTGTAATGATTACATTGTCTAATTATAAAGAATATACAAAAACACTTTTTAGGTGATTTTAAGTTATGCCTGTTAGCATGTGAAAACAAAAAAATGTTAATAAAGCCCCACTCATTTCCCAGGACTAATATGCTACTTGAACTCTGCTCTTATGATTATTTTGATGCTGTCAAAATTGTATCCGTTGGCTCATAGCTCTCTATCTGTTCAAGATGTTCTCTCTCAAATTAATGCATGAGTTAGTCTGCAAAAACAAATTTCCTGACTAATGCTTTGCGTGTAGTGTTGGCTGGTTTTCCTTCAGACCCGGTTGTTTTTATTCTCTGGTTCTAATTTATTTCTTGATCTGCAGTTATGTCAAAGCATACCTCCTGCCTGACAAGTCCCGCCAAAGTAAACGCAAGACCAAAATCAAAAGTAACAGCACCAATCCAGAGTTTAATGAAACACTAAAGGTAAGAGTACTGGCACTCTCATAATCCATGCTTGTTTACTTTTTATTTTATTTATACCCTAAATGTTCTCCCAAAATACTCGAGTGGCTTAAAATATTGGGAAATATGGCAAAAAGGGAAATGTTTTCGTTGGCATAATAACTGCGCTTTTTGGTACTTGCTGACAAAGGAGAATTTTTACTTTGTTTTCCCCAGCCAGACACAACATAGGTGTTGATTATTACAGTCTTCTCTTTACCTTTGTGGATCTATTTCAGGGCCATTGCCATCTCATCTCTCATAAAGTCCTACCGTGAGATTTTCAAAAGGATCTGAATGACTGCACAAAGTATTATGGGAAGCTCATAAGATGTGTACTCCTAAGTAACACTGGTCAAGGACTTTCCATCAGAATAATCTTCTGCTGGAACATACTCTTCTCACAAAATTGAAATTTTCCACCGAATATTAAACTTCATTTTTGCCTGAATAGGATTGGCTTCTATTTCAAAAATTGAAATAATGGCTCTCTGTCTGCCTGCCATTCAGCTTCAGTCCATTTCACTTTTTGTCTGCAAAGGTGACAGTAAAAGCCTTCCAGGCAGACTTCGGAGGGAGAGTCTGTGGCTCTCGGCCTCCCTACTTCAGCTCATTTAAGGCTTCCATGGCACAGGAAATCATGGGGGGCGAAGCCAAGCAGGCTGAGTGTTCTCGTAATTTGCCTTTCTGGCAACTGGACTGCAGGGCTTTTATCAATTACACTTCCTGCCCATTGACAAGAACCTTCCAGGCCAGCTGCAGTGGAGCCAAAAAAAATCTGTTTCAGTTCCTTTGCAGGAGAAATTCCCCTGAAATCCCCAAGAGTAACTTTGCCTTGGCCTTTTGGTCACTATTTGTGGATTGTCAGTTTTTCATTTTTACAGCTCTACATCCAAGTTGTTTAGTCATTTATGGAACTGCCACCATGAAACAAAGGGTTTATTCTTTATAGTGACTTAAAATAAGCAGCATGACAGGTTTCCTACTCTATTGACTAATACAACTTGGCTCGTATAGTTGGACAAACCTGGCTGTAAAACTGCTTTACACACTGTATATGCCTACTTGTGTAGCAGACCTTTGTTACAACCCCATGTGTGTATTTGTTTTATACTAGGATTAGGTTTGGTCTGACCTGGGAAAAAGTGAGTTAGCATCCATCTAGCAGGGAGTGTGTTTAAACAGTTTTTCCTAATGCGGTTTCCAGACTTTGTGTAGGTGGAGCCTAATTATCTGATTAAAAAAACATAAAAGATGACCAGTGTGGCTTGCTTGAGACTTTGACCTGAGAGACAGCTGCCTAGATCTCATAGCAGAAGATACATTTGTCTAAACCAGTGGTGCTAACCTTGCAGCGTTCTGGGCCAGTTGAGCAACATGGGGCCGGTTTGCAGACCTAATCAGGTTCCAGGGCCTGGCACCACCCCCTCCTTGTCCTACACCTTGGGAATAGGCCTTGGGAGCCTGGCACCACCCCCTCCTGCCTCCCATGTGCCAGCTTTGGGTCCCAGGAGCTTGGTGCCACCCCTTCTGCGCATCAGGATTGAATGCTAGGGGACTGGTGCACCACCCTCTCCCACCCTCAACACTAAAATTGGATCCTGGGACCCTTGCTGCCATTGCTTAACCTGGTGCAATGGGATTAGGTGTTTCATCCAGCAGGTAGGGCCCAGGGCTCTCCGTGGGTCCAGAAATTTGGTACCAGGAGAATAGAAGCCCTGCCGACCAGATGAGCTGTTCCCATTACTAACCTTGAAACCTCTATCCAAACAATCCTGGCATCTAACATTATTTTAGTTAGATATGCATAAATATAAAGATAAATATGCAGTTTCTATTTAACCACTTAAAAAGTTGTGGGGATACTGTATCTGGTATTTGTTCATTAGCATACTGTCAAGTCTTTTTTTAACAAAAGCTCCTTCTTAGTGGGTAGAATTTTGTGTTCTGTTTAATTACTATATAAGCTATTTTATAAGGATTAAATAAGGGTGATTACTTGGGAAGCTTCTTTTTAGTGTAATAATAACCTGTTAAATAATACAGAGAAGCCACAACAATAATAAAAACACTTGATTGTAAAGTGAACAATTGGACATCATAGGCTTCTCTTGAATAGTAGCCTTGTAACTGATTTGATCATCACTTAAAAAGAAGAAAAAAGTCTTTCCTATGCTTCATTTGTCAACTACTTTGGACTTTATGGAGACAGAGTTTTTTAAATGTGGTAGCTATATAATGCCATTAGGAAGCTGGAATCTACTCCTGTTAAAGCTCTCCATCCTTGTTTTCTCTCAATAGTACGTGATCAGTCATACACAGCTAGAGACCAGGACCTTACAGCTGTCTGTGTGGCACTATGACAGATTTGGTCGCAACAGCTTTCTTGGGGAGGTGGATATCCCCCTTGACTCCTGGAACTTTGAAAGTCAGACTGATGAATGGTTTGTGCTCCAACCCAAGGTGAGGCCCTCCGGTTTGTTAATGGTGTAGTAATGAAGTGAAATAAAGGAGGTATGATTTATTATTATTATTTGGAGAGTGGCTGTAAAATAATGAATTTATAGTCACCTGCCATGGACAGGAGCCTATGAGAAGAATAACTTTTCTTTTCAAAAACCAAAAATGTACAGTCTCATTTCATAAAGAATTTGTACATGAATGCCTCCTCCCAGCAGAACCTATTAAGAAAAGTCCATGAATCTATCAAATGGTAAAACACAATGGTAAAGGAATAATTTTGTTAACGAAATGTTGCACGAAACAACGAACTGTTTCCAAGCAAAGATCTGCTAAAGAAATGGACCTTTCTTTGTGTAATACGTTTAAACATTTAACAATTTACTCCTGTAGTGCAGTTCATCAGTTACTCTTCTATTCATACTGAGTAGTGGATACGACATCATGCTGTTTAGTATACAAATAAGTAGCTCCAGGAAATGTGAATGGTTGTAGTGCTTAGCTAAGGTTATAACATCTTCTGGCACTTACGGAATTCCTCAGTGGAAAGGTCTGAAGTGTTTATTTTGGGAATAACTTTAAAGAGGCATTGTAAACTTGATTATATGCTTCACAGCTGCTGTCTGCTGTACTAGCCAGGTTGAACCACCAGTCTACGCTGCTGTTTCAGGAAGTATCATCTTCTTATGACATAAAGAGTTGAGGACCTATTAGGAGTGATGTGCATGTAGGTTAATATAATTGATTTATCATTCTGTGTAAAAACCCCTTTTTTTTCCACTTGGGGTACTTGGAGTGGTGGGTTTGCTTTGTTGCTTTCCCAGAGATGCAGTTGCCCTGTAATTTTTGTGCACAATCCTGTGTTGGTTAGAAATTCTGTCTAAACTGTCTTCAGGTGTGTCTTTTGTATATAGGAGCTTAATTGTGAGAAGATACAAAATATCTTTCTGATTGTATATGTTGTGTGTGTTTGTCTATGTAGGAATCTCACAGATTAATGCTGTATTTGGAACTGTAACTCTCTTGTCCGAGTCTGATTTGAGCATATTAGTCCTTTTGGCTCTGCTTTACTGCATTGAAGGGAGCAAGACTCATTTAGAATCCAGAACTCAGACTGAGAGGAGGGTAGTTTACAAGCTATGTCTGTCACCATTCACTAGCAGCTCCTCCGCTCAAACCGTGCTTACTTATCCTGAAACATGAGCAGTGGGAGTTAGGGATAGCTACTAAGCTTAGAGAGTTAAGCAGCAGGCTTTCGGTGCCACAGGCTTCTTTCTCAAAACAAAACACAAAATGCATTAAATTATGTGGGAAGAAATGTTCACAGTCAGCACCAGTTTAAATTGATTTGGCAGTGCAATGTGTCTGGTTGTAAGGAGCTGTTTTGGCAGCTACTGAAGACTCAAGGGCCTCTGATTAAATACATCTTGATGCCCCTGGGGCTGGTACATGAAAAAGCCACAGCACATTTCCTCTTTATGTGCATAAATAAATCACAGAATCATGGAAAAATAGGCCTAGAAGGGAGCTCAAGAAGTCATCTGATCCAGCTCCCTGCTCAAGGCAGGATCATCTCTGTCTAAACCATCTCAGACAAGCATTTCTCAAACTTGCCCCAAACATTTCCAAGGAGGCAAATTTCATGACCTGTCTAGGTAATCTAGGTAGTGCTTAACTACCCTCAGTAAGAAAGTTCTTAATATCCAACTTACATTTCCCTTGCTGCAGTTTAAACCGTTACTTCTTGTCCTGTCTCCAGCAGCCACAAGGAGTGGTCTGTCACTATCCCCTTCATGTATCCACGTACATGTATTACATTAGTATGTATGTAATACAAATACCCATCATGTATTATGTATGGATACATACATATATACACTATCCCCTCACTCTTCTTTTCTCCAAACTAAACATTCCCAGTTCTTCTAACCTGTGCCCATAAATCATGTTCTCTCAACCTCTAGTCATTTTTATTGCTCTCTGTCTCGACTCCTAATTTATACTCATCTTGAAGTATGGGGCCCAATACTTGATGCAGTACTTCAGACCCTTTTCCTTACACCAGTTGCCCTTGTTGAAGCAGGAAGGAAACACATTCCCAATTGCTTAATATTGCTGAAAGGATGCCTAGTTCCTGTATTTCAGTCCCCAGAAGGCATGGGCTGCCAGAAAGGGCCATGCCAGATTCCCAAAATGGTTAGAGTACATGACTCAGTCAGCACTGTGTATGCAGACAAGATAGAGAGATTTCCAGTGGCTATTAAGAGGGGACATGATGGCACTCTTCAAGTATCTGAAGGGCTGCCATAAAAAAGACAGGAAATGCCTTTCCTTTGTTGCTGCAGAGAGCAGGACATGGACCAATAGTTTCATAGTTTCTAGGGTCAGAAGGGACCTGAAC